GGCCGTTGGTGTTGAAGGCAGCAGAGCGCGGGATGTATGGGGCACGGGGCAGGGCGTGTGGCTGCGCAGGGGGGGGCGCTCGCTGGATGCCTGCCGAAGTCAGGCTGCGGGTACTGAAACTGGCTTTGCCAGCTGACATCATCTCCACAGTCGAGTTCAACCACACCGGAGAGTTACTGGCAACAGGGGACAAGGGGGGCCGGGTTGTAATATTCCAGCGTGAGCAGGAGGTAAGTGCCAGTGAATGCAAAATGCCCATTTTATCCTTTTAAGCAAAGCTTCCTGCTGTTTCCTAATCCGCCTGTGTCACTCCTAACCTCAGGGCTCTCCTGGCAGACTCCGAGCTGAAAAGCAACTATTAGCATCCACAGGGCCAGATTTGCTCCTGTAAAACACCCTCTGGGCCTGGTGTTTCCTGCGTCCTTCTGCTGAGGTGTAACAGGGTCCAGGCAGATTGTCCGAGCATGACGTGGGGACCTGTTCCAGAGCCAGCACCACCCCAAAACCCCCTCACACCCCCAAAATGTCCTGAAAGTGCTGGCAGGCACCCAGCCAGCCTGGCTGCTGCAGCTGTGCTGGCTCCTGCCCCCTCAGAGGGTCCCTCCCCGTTTCCCCAGCCTGGTTTAGCTGCTCTGGGCCAGCCCAGCTGGCAGGAGCCCTGCTCCCCTGCGCTGGAAGGGATGAGCCAGACCCAGCCGTGAGAAATGTCACAGTCCGATGATGGGTTTCAATTTTTCTCATAGCCTCAAAATTATTTCTACATACTGGAGAGAACCCAGTGGTTAAGGGTTATACGTGTAGACACTTCATCAGCCTTTCCAGCATAATTTCATTTCTCCTTTCCCTCTCATTTTATTTTTCTACTGCTTTTCTTGAACTTTAAGCCTCCAGCACCACTCCAGGTACATCCATTCAGCCTGGGAGCAGCACCATGCTCCAGGGGACAGGTGAGGCTTCACCCGCCCAAACGCGCCATGTGTGTGCAGGAGGTTCATCTCCAGGATGGTTTGGTTTAATTACTCAGCCCCGTTTGAGGCCTTCGAGCTGGTGGTTCCTGTGTGGGGTGAACAGATACACTGTCTTTTCCAAGTGCTGAGCTGGGGTGTGTAGTGCCCACAGGGACTGTGTCCTGCTCCTGGCTGTGTTATTCTTGCTCCATATCCATGGACCCATGGGGCAAACACTGCCTGTCCTGTACCAGTGGCTGCTGCCAGTAGCTCCTCTGTGCCTGGGCTGGGCACCCAGCAGGGACTGGTGCTCAATCCCAGCCATTCCCTGGCACAAGCACCTTGTGCTCCTCCCTGTCCCTCCGCAGAGCAAGAACCAGCCCCACCGCAGGGGAGAGTACAATGTCTACAGCACCTTCCAGAGCCACGAGCCGGAGTTCGATTACCTGAAGAGCCTGGAGATCGAGGAGAAGATCAATAAGATCCGATGGCTGCCGCAGCAGAACGCAGCCTATTTCCTGCTCTCCACCAACGGTACGTGGCCCTGGCACTCTGTGCCCTGCGCTGCACCACCAGGCAGGGCCTTCCTCGGGGTCTGTTCAAAACATCTTCCCTCCCCCAGGGTGACATAGGTGTCCTGGGGGAATGGGTCTGGGGAGCTTGGCGTGTGTGTTGTCCCTTCCCTGCGAGAGAAGGTGGGAAGGAAAGAGGAGGGAAGGAGGTGGCTTCTCCCTGGTGACAACTTTTATTTTTGGGATTATGGGAATTCTTTTTTTTGTTTGTTTGTTTTGTTTTGTTTTGTTTTTTTTAAAGACAAACTGCAGCTGATTTGTTTCAATTTGCAGCTGCATTTGGCTCAGCAGTTCCACATTATGTTCTGATAAATATCAGGAGGATCCAGGAATATTATGTGGGATGAATGGGACCTTAAGATGGATGTGACTTAATTACTTCAGGGGAAAAGGAGGGGCCTAATTATCTTCCATAACCAACTTACTTTGTGTTATAGAATTGACTCTATTGATCATTGTAATAAAATTCAAAGACTTATTAAACTCATTTGGGGGGAGAATCATTGGAATGCAATGAAGATTAATTATAGAGCATAATGTTCTGTTAATTGAGTTTTTAAATAGTTTTTTGATTAACAGGGATATTACCCTTCCATTTGAGAAGGTGTTCCATATGCAGGCAGGTTATCAAAACAGTCCTTTTGGAAATATTCCTGTGTTATGCTGTTTCTTTTTGTTCTTACTGTTGCACTAACATTTTATATTGAACCTCCTGAAGAAAAGTGGGTTAATAAAAACAAAATTAATGGCACTCCACTGGAGTTGCTGTGTAAGGGAGAAAATGAAGATGGATGATGGGGTTGTGCATGAAACCTGGTGGACGTGATGATAAACTATGGATATAGTCCCTGCCAGGAGGGAGCAAAGAAAACACCATTATTCAGCATAATCCCACGTGTTCCTGGGGCTCCTGCCCAGGGGCTCTGGCACAGTGGGGTGGGATGCAGTGAGGGGACAGGGAGCTGTGCTGGGGTTGGATCTGCCTTCGGTCCCTGGTGAATGCTGAGCTCTGAGCAGTGCTGGATGGGGAATGTCAGGATGGCTCTGGGTGAGCTACAGACGCCTCGTCACGTCCTTCAGGGTTCATCCAGCTCCAAGTGTGCCCCACATGCCTTTGCTTCTCCACCACTGTGCACCAGCAACTTGCTGTGGGGACAGGTACCCCTGTCACCCCGTCCAGCACATGGCATTGGGGGACACAGCAGGTTTTTCCAGCCAGGGTGGCCTTGGTGCATCCGTCAGTGGTGGCTTGGGGGGCAGCCGCCGTGACGCTCTCCTCTCTCCTCCCCCAGATAAGACTGTGAAGCTATGGAAGGTCAGCGAGCGGGACAAGAGACCGGAGGGATACAACCTCAAGGACGAGGATGGACGTCTCCGAGACCCCTCCATGATCACCATGCTCCGGGTGAGTGTGGGGAGGAGCCTTTCTCTGCAGGGGCCTGGGGGAAAGCTGCTGCTGACGTGGTGCCACAGCACTGTGCTGCCAGGGCTGGTTGATGTGGGAGGGCATCGCTTTGGAGCCCGTGCTCTGGAGGTGCATGGCTGTGGGAGCAGGGCAGGGAGCTGCCGTGGGCTCGGTGCCCAGGCTGTGCTGACTCTGGGCAGATGTGCTGCCAGTGTCACACTCCGTCTCGTGTCAGGTGCTCCTGTGCTGCCCCACAGGCTGTGCCCGTCCTGGCGAGGAGGCAGGGCACGAGCTCTCCCGTCCTGGAGCGTTCACATGTGCAGCTGCTGCTGCAGGAGCAGAAGTTGTTCCTCTAAATGAGTTTTCCTCCTGGTCATGACATTAATCAGAACAGACCAGCTTGTAATTTATTACCATCCTGTCAGAATTTGCATTTTGAATATTTGTGGGGTTTATATTTATACATATAAAAGTGTTACTGTGATTACCCTTGCCTCACTTTGTGGCTCCAGTTCCATTGCGGATGGAGCCATTGGGAACCCCAGACAGGCAGTTAATTCTTGTCTGCATACAGGGTTGTTCCTGGTGGCTGGCAGCATTTTTCTTTACAGAGCAAGAAAGCATTTATTTCATGTAGATGTGTATCTGCTGTTATGCTTCAGGCAGCATTTCCAGCCTAACATGCCATTACCTGACAGCCTGTTGGAGAGGTTTGCTCGGCATCTGGCTGTCAGAGCTGGGGCTGTCAGCCCTCAGCTGGAAAGGGTTTGGAAAGGCGTCAGTGTTAGGCTTTTACCCCAGGTAGTGCTTCCTTCTCTGGCCAAATGCCCTGGGAAGGCCCTGGGGTTTCTCTTTGCCCTGTAGAAAGTCACACTGACATATCAGAGAACTGGACACTATTTATTGGAGTCTGCTCTGCCTCGAAAGCTTCAGCCTTTGTGCCACTCTCAGCCCCCTCGCTCCGGGCGTGGCTGGAGGAGTTGCTGCCCTGCGTGGCAGTGCCCTGGGGTCAGCCCCGGGAGGGGGAACGCGCTGGGAGCGCTCAGTGTGCGCTCACTGGTGTCTGCTGTGCGGTGCCTGCGTCCCCCAGGACGGAGGATTCAGGAGGCTTCTGCCAGCCCCGTTTGATTTAATGTTTTGATGGTTTTACTTAGACAGATATTTACATAGCTGTAACCGTTTTGCTGCAGCTTGGTGTATCTCTGATGTGCCACTGTCCTGTGATGCTCGTGCTTTGCAGTAAAGCCGCATCCATCCACGGTTTAATTTTCAGCCACAGACGAGCAAGAAAGGGTTTTAAACCCACCTTGCTGCAATCATCTCTCACCCATTCAGATTACTGGTTTAAATGCACTTGATGAGCATCATCCTCTGAGGAATTTCTAACCCACATAGTGCAAACGGAATATTTAGCTCCGCTCAGGCTGTGAAGTGGGGAATTTGCTGTCATTAGAAGAGCTCTGCTGATCTGAATTGCTCCGGTCTAACAGCTGCAGCACTCGGGCCTGAGTGTTCTGCGAGTGCCACTCGCTGTACCTGTGCCATGGGATGTGTGCAGGAGATAATTAACACAAATACTACCCAGGGCTTCAGCCTTTTCAGCCAGGGGATGTGCTTGCTTTGGTCCCTGACCGCGCGGGTCAGTCGTGGTGACACCCCTGGACCGACCCACGGCTGTGCTGCTGACAGGAGGGTGCAAGGGCTGCTGTGTGCTCACGCCTGCGTGTTCACAGCTCTCACAGAGCCCTCTCTGAGTAAGAGCTGCCACTTCACTCTCTCAATTCCAGCAAATTCCATTATAAATCCTGTTTTGTATCTCCCATTTTGCCAAAGCACTCAGACATCCTGGCCCCTGTGCATGGCTTCCCAGGGGGGGAAAATGTCAATCTGCCATGAAAATAGTGTTTGATGCTCATTTATTCTGCAAAATATTAATCTGGAGGTGGCATTGGGCAGTCACAGAATGCGCCTTGTGTAGGTAGGAATTGAGGGCTGGGGAGTGTGCTCAGGGGAGCTCATCTGCTGGAGGAGCTGAGCTGCTGGGGCGGATGGAAAACTCGCTGGATTTATCCCTGAGCGCTTGTTCTGCTCCCTGATTTGCCAGAACCAGATTAGAGTTTTCTTCTTGCAGACCCGAGGCTGGGGTCAATCCAGGCTTTGGCTTGACTAATCCCACTTGGCCAAATCCTGGCGAGGCTGTGGAGCTGGCTGAGCGCCGGCTGGGCTGGGGGCAGTGGGGCTGTGCACTCACCTGCACTGCCCTGGCACTGCTGCTGTGCTGGCCCAGCACTGCCACTTATCCTTTCCCTGTGTCCTGACCTGTGTTGGGGTGACACTCTGCCATGAGGCACCTCTGGGCAGAGGACCAGGTGTCCCTGAGAAACACGGAGTCTCAGTGGCTCTGCAGGCCACATCCTCACGGTGCTGTGCCACGCGGAGCTCTTCCCCGGGAGCGTTCGGTGACAGTGGACGTGACAGACGATGGAAGGGGAAGCCTGATGGGGACAGGGTAATTACTGACACCGCGTGCCCAGTGCCATGGTCCTTTGCTCAGGGCTGGAGGTGGCAGGAGGATGTGCAGTAGGGGTGGTGGGAAGGGGCCAGGACACATCTAGCTCCCTCCACCCCAACCGCTGAGAAAATGAGTCTTACAGCTTAAAGGAGGATTAGTGTCTCATTAACTCCGGCCAGGGGAAGCCTTCACCAAGCACGGGGAGAGGAATGGAGTGAGTGGGATGGCTCTTCAGCAGGGCGTGCCTGCTGAAGGCAGGAAGAAAAATTAAGACATATTTTGTTTTAAATGAAAAATGACTGGCATTCGCCCCTTCCTGAAAACAGAGTGTAATTTAATTTATTAGTGGGTTATTTTATTTGACATTCTTTCTGTGTACTTGATGCGCTTTGTTGCACCGAATTACCCTTTAATAATGGGGGGTGTGACACCAGAGCCTGCCCCGAGGGAGCTCCGCGCTGGAGCAGGGGGTGCTGAGGGCTCTGCTGCTGAGGGCTGCCGTGGCAGGGCTGCCGGAGCTGAGCAGGTTGGGTAGATGCTGTGCCTGCTTCAAAAAAACCACCAGACCCAGTTCCAGTTGCCGTCACGTTGCCCCATTTGTTGGTGCTTCCTCTCCCTATGGCTGAGGGTTGGGCAGCTGCTCCCCTCGTCCATCCTGAGCTGGGGTTCCCTGCACTGCAGGATCCTGCTGTTGGGGGACGAGGTCCCCAAGCTGGTGTGTGCTCCTGGCACGTTCCTGGATGCTCCTGCCTCAAAGTGTCAGTGCTCTCAGGGTTAAGTCCTCATTGCTGATACCCTTAAGCAGAAGCTCCCAGTACGTGGGTATGCTGGTTTCTGTATTTCAGTGCAGATTCTTGTCGCTGTAGCAGACAGAAGTCCCTGCCTTAACAAACCGCTCATACGTGACCAGGTTCATCCTTCTCGTGGGGTTTTACCTGGTGAGGGGCCGAGTCCCAGACATAAAAAATTCTTCCCAGGGTTTGGCTCTGAAGTAACACGTGGAGAATGTTCTTGGCCAAAGAGTTTGTTGAAGCGCCGTGGTTCTGAGCGGCTGCCACGTGGGAACAGGAGTTGTGCTGGGGCACTGGGAGCTGCAGGTGCCACGGTGCTGGGATCAGCCCAGGCTGGGGACAGGGACCGGCCCAGGCTCTGGCTGTGAGCTGTGCCGAGCCACAGAGTCACCTGTCTGAGCAGGATGCCCTGCCCAGGCCTTTGCTGTGCTGTTTGCCTGCCCGGCCAGGCCGGTGCAGCTGCCGAGCGCTGTCCCGGGGCAGGTCTGTCCCGGGCCCCTGGGGCGGCCCGCGAGTGTCCCGGTCCCATGGTGGGGCCGGCGAGCGAAGCATCGCTGCCCGCTGCTGTGCAATTAGCAGGCAGACTGTCACGTTCGGCTCAGGCTCCCAGCTGGCAGCGCCAGCGCTCTCGTGTCACTCGAGCTGGCTGTCACACTCCGTCCCCACCTCCGCAGCCCTGGGACATCTCTTGGGGCCGCGCGCAGATGACACCAGTGATGAGCAGCCGGAGGGATCGGCTCAGTGGAGCGGGAGCGTGGGCTGACACACTCCTGCTGTGCTGCATTCAGAGCGTTGTGTCCCAAGTGTTACTGACCCCACTCCTCGCACACGCGGTCCCCACTGCATCTCCCCACACTCAGAGCTCTGTTCCTGCTCCTCTCCTCTGTCCCTGCCTGCACATCCCTCACCGTGTCCCTTCTCATCGCTTACCTCCATCGCTTCACTGTGAGGCAGTGCAGAAAAATTGTACTGACCAGGCTCTCTCAAGAAATGTATTTCTGTTAGAAATGCTCCAGGAATTTCAGATCCCAGACAATGGTGATAAAACGAGGCAGAAGTCATTTTTTTGGCTGGTTTTCTGTTTCAAAGCTGAAGCAATTGCTGCAGCAAGATCAGTCAGGTTTACTGTGCTCTCACGGCTTCACTGTGCTCTAACCTGGAGGCCCTGGAACCTCTCAAAATTAGGCTTGTCCTTCCGTCATACACCTGGGAATGCATTGGGTGGAGAAAGCCTGTCAGGAGGCCGGTGGGATGGAGCTCTGTCAGCCAGAGTGCTGTGGTGTCCCCGTGCCAGGTGCTGGTGTGGGCTGGGGGACGGCAGGACCCTGTCCCTGGGTGCTGACACTGCTCCCTGTCCTGCAGGTGCCTGTGCTCCGACCCATGGACCTGATGGTGGAAGCCACTCCCCGGAGGGTGTTTGCCAACGCGCACACCTACCACATCAACTCCATCTCCGTCAACAGCGACTATGAGACCTACATGTCAGCGGACGACCTGAGGATAAACCTGTGGAATTTTGAAATCACAAATCAAAGTTTTAGTATCCTTTGATGTGCACAGCACTGGGGCTGACGCCTGGTCCTGGGCAGTGGGACGAAGCAGGGCCATGCCGGTGCGGTGCCTGTGGGGATGGTGACCGCGAGGGCAGCGCACCCGGTCACGGTGCTCTGGTACAGGGCCTTCCCCCTCTGGCAAGGCTGGCAGGGACGCGGGAGGACGAGGCAGTTCTGCCCACTGTGCACCTGACTACAGAGCACCCGAGGTCCCCGGGGATGGCACTGCCCTCCCGTCGCTGCCCGTGCTGCCGCGGGATGCCGGGCACACCCAGCCCTCGCACCAAGCTGCTGCCTCCACGGGGTGAGGCTCAGCTGGCATCCCCACGGCTGCTGCTGTCACCCGCCCTGGGGTGTGCTGAGTGTGCCCGCGGGGTCCGACGGGCAGAGGGAGGGGACGGGTGCCTTGGGGAGGGTGGAAATACTAATGGTGCAGTCCCCGTTATAGCCTGCAGCAGGTGACAGGCTGCCCGTCACCC